ATGTAATACTTGACAAAAATGACCCACATTACAAAATAAAAGAAACTACACTCAGAAAATAATCAGTGTTTACTTATTAATGTGTTATATGCAGCCTTCTAAGATGACAGAAAGATGAAAGAGAAAATTCGAAAAGAGTTATTGGATTTAAAAATAAAGTTGACATAGATACCAACCTTACTAAATGTCTTATTGTTTTTAATTCCTATTTAGACACATTGATTCAGTGAAGTATAAGTTACAATGAGATATTTTTATTGTTGATCAATACGATGTCATGTTAAAAAAGAATCACCTCCCTCTGAGTCTTTGTATGGAATAGCACAAGTGTTTTTTGAAATATTTATTTAAAAAAGTTGTACGATCCATTTTATAATGATCTCCTACCTTTGACAAGTGCAATAGTCACGGATAATATTAAAAAAAGCAATTGACATCGCATTTCCCTGTACACGTCTTTGCACTTTTCCGATACGTCTATCATCCTGTGTAACAATGGTTTTGATAAACGGAAGATAATTATCCAGTACTCTGTTGCTAGATGCTTGAACTTTGTCTTCAACAATATATTGACTATTATATTCCTTTTTCATTGTTTAACACAGACACGGCTCTCTTTATTCAAAGAATACTAGTTTCTTTTCAATATTGTTTTCCATAATTATTTTAACTGTACGATTAGAATATTGATTTCATTCCAAACTATTTTGTATTTAGCAACAAATTTTCATCTTTTAAGGTAAATAATGAAACGAATATGTTGATTATATTATAACTGAAAGATTTGCGTAGTAGATTAAAAATAATAATTCTTTTCTAGTTTCATCAATTGACCAATTATTTGCCGATTTTAGTAGACTCATAAAACGAAACTGTTCAGTTTTCCGATGAACATCTAAATTACCTAAATTAAGGATCATCGGTCGTTTTTCGATGCAGACAATCTGTTGAACGACATTAGCAACACTTATTTCCGGCGTTTACCATAAAGCTGTTACCAATATCGATGCAACCGTGACGATAACCGTGGCTATATCTACGATAATTGGCTGAAGCAAGTAAATAAGAAAAAAAAAGATTTGATTAAAGAAAATAATGATTATTTATAATGGCTGAAGAAAATAAATTGGAATAGACGAACCCAAATCTGAATTCAGACTCTTAAATTTTTTCAATTTACTTTTCCCAATACTAAATCCTTTTGTGAAAGTCGTCTTTTTTTAGAGAATTTTATTCTTAAAAAGCGTTATATGTGAAAAACTAGAACTAAAAATTTTCAAAAGTGGACTTCAGATTCGAATTCTTTACCCTCGATTTATTTTTGTCAACCTTTATAAGAACATAGTTATTTTCTTTAAAAAGTTTTGTTTTTTTGTGACAAGCGGTTTAAACTGATAACTGTAACTACGATTGTCGTAGTAAGACAGGCAAGCATAGGTATGGTTGTCGTAGTTGGATCGGTAATCATAGGTAAGGTGTATTATAATAGTTGGACTAATAATCGTAGGTAAGGCCTATTATAATAGTTGGACCGATAACTGTAGGTACGGTTATCGTAGTTGGACCGATAACCGCAGGTACGGTTACCGGTCTATGTACGGTAACCGTACCTACGGTTACCGTAGTCGGACCGGTAACCGTAGGTACGGTTACCGTACATGGACCGGTAACCGTACCTACGGTTACCGTACATAGACCGGTAACCGTACCTACGGTTACCGTAGTTAGACCGGTGAAACGGTGACGGTATACCGATGAATGATCGTCACCGTTGCATCCCTAGTATATTAAAATCATTCAAAAATATTTTTATTCAAAAAATAGACTTCCTTCCAAATGTTAATATTCTTTTTTGTCTATTCTCAGGAGATGAACATTTTATTCAATCAATCAATATTTTGTAAGACCTAAGAAAATGAATCCTTATTGAACTTTTGTTTTGTAATATATGACAAATCTATTGATCATTGTGTTATCCATGAAATAAGTACACGAATTAAGCAACATGATGAATCAATATGAACATCTATGTGAATAAAACCGCTAATAAATTCGATTTTATTTAGATTCATCAACATTTTTAGGTCGACGAATACCATCTTTGGATCGATTTTATCATTATTAAATCTCCAAACACTGAATGTATCCAAACAAACTTGACAATGAATTCGCTACAGATTCTCACAGTCGCAGAAACTGTTGTTTATATCCATAGACTTATTTGACAGCTAACAGTCACTAAATCATCGGATTAGAATAAAAATCACAATAGCAATCTTTGTTTTTGTATTTTTGGAAGTCTTTTCCATCATCTTTCTTTTGATGAAGGAAATAAAGATCTCATTAAAATGTTTCTCAAATGCACAAGCTTGTTTTTCCTTGACTATTTTTCTTGCTATTAATTCTAAATAAAATACGAAGAAATATTTTATTGATAAAAATGATCAATGTTAAAGTCATCTTGGACACCATCTGGTTTTTCAACTGCTTTGATACGTTTAACAGAAACATTATTAAACCGTTTGGTCTTTCTTCGTTTTTCAATTCGTTCTCCATCATTTTTTCTTAATTCAGCGAATTCTATATATTCTTCTGTTGATAGTCCTTTTGGTCTCGTAATAATTTTTTCAGCAACGCTATACTGTCGTTTTTGTTCAATAAAACGGCTTGGATATTGATCTTCATCATATTGATGATGATTTTCTGGTAATCGAATAATCATTCTCGGTACAACGTTGATTGCATTGTTTTTTCGTTGTGATATTGTTTGATCGATTTCATTTGGCAATGTTTGAATAAAACGATTAACCATTTTGGCTTTTTGGAATGGACAATAAGATAAACCTCCATATGCATTTTTGGCTGGCCAAACTCGACGTTGCCAATCTCTTGGTCGTAAAGGAGCCATTGTTGTTTGAGTATTCGATTGTTTATCTTCAACTTGAATAGCATCTTCATTTGTTGAGAAAGGTGAAATATTTTGAATTGTTTCATATGGTAGGGATGGTATACCATACGATCGATTGTAATTATTTCCGTTTCCAAAATCATTGCGTTGATTATATTCTGGTGTTGTTAAACTATTTTTATTTCTATTATAAGCAATACGGCCATTTTTGTAGCAATAAATAAGTATACATAATGTTATAAATGTGTTTTTTAACATTACAGAACAGACGACGATGGCTAACATTTTCCATTGTGAATTTGTATATGGATCTAAATTAAATAGATATAGAAGTTTGAAGAAGAAAAGATTGATGAACTTACTTTGAATATATAAAATAATTGAAGTGATAAAATCACTTATTGATGCAATACCGAGTATGATTATAGTTCCGAATAGAATTCCACCAGTAAAACGTGTTAACCCAAAACATAATGGTTGCCAACACCACGAAGTCTAAAAAATTAATATTCATATTTAGTTAGAAAAATGTTTATATTCTAACGGGTTTATCATTTTGTCGAAGATCATCATCAGGATAAACTTTTTCTGAAAAACAGTTGATTTTTAAATTTAGGAAGAAGAATATATTCAATTTTACCCATATACTTATTTTGTGGGCAATATAATTGATTTGAGTTATATGGATAGATTGTATCCATTGCTGGTTTTTTCAGTGAATACATGTGTGATGGTTGAATAAGTGGTTTTGGTGATTGTATCGGTGATGGAGTTCGGAAAGCTTTAAAAAAAATATTGATTTAATTAACAAATTCTATGTTAAATAACATACAATTATTGGGTTGTGAATATGTATTATATTCTGGTTGTTGTGGTTCGATTCTGTTGTTTTTAAATGAATTACTGTACCCAAGCGAGTGATCTTTATATTGTGATGCCACTGGTATTGGTTGAAATGATTGTCCAAGAGTAATCATCATTGGAATCGGTTCTTGTTGCGAAGAAGCTGGTCCTGACATCATTTGTGAGGGAGTTTGATATTCATATGACAATTGTTGTGGATGAGGCATTTCTAAAACGGGACCTATTACAAAATCAATTAAATACAATGCAGGGATGTTATATGTGGCAGATTCTCATAAGCATTATTGTCAAATGAATTTCGGAACTTTTAACCTTGTAATCACCATCAATGCATATTCCTTTTTGAATGTGACATATCATCTATTGTTGTTTTTTCGTTGATTGAATTGAAAAAGAAAACTGAAAAGTGATTGTTTTTCTTTTCTCATCGTCTCAAACCAAATGTGAGAATGAAATGTATAGTCCAACTTTTGGTTTTTTTGGGATTGATTAAAGATTTGATTTGTATAGAAGACGGATACTAATAAGGTTAATGTCAAACCAAGTAAGATCAACTCTAGTTGATGAATTAGGTATATGATGACCTGAACATTAGTTACTGTTTTATTGATTTATATTTTTAAAAATAACGACACGAAATAGAACAAAAAGAAATTGTTGTATTTGATTATGATATTGTAAGTATTCGTAACAATGGTTAGAAAAAAGAAAAGATATTTTGATGAAAAGAAACGATGTAGTCGAATATTTTATTCAACTCATAATAATGAATTCATTGTGTTTTATTTGAATAGAATAAATTAATTAATAAGAGATTTCCATAAGAAACTATGACTCTACTTTTTATATTTATAATTATAAAAAAAACAAAAAAAAAAAAAAGTGTTCGCATTGAAAGTTTATTATATTTTTATTTTTTCCCAGTTTCGACAACAACAGGTGGATAATTGCATACACCAATTTTAGGATCAAATATTGTTCCCGGTGCACATTTACGAATCCAAAAGACACCTGTTTGATCGCATTGAATGAAACGTGATGCATCAGGATAATAAGGAAAATAATATCGACCAGAGATGCCGCAAGGATTTTGAACTAAAATAAAGAACAAGAAAAAAGTAGTGACATCTAAATGTTGTCGGCCTCTAATCTTGCCTTGGTAGACGACGAAGGAAAGGACGAAAAGAAAATTGTTGATAGACAGACAAACAACATATACAAACATATAGGAAATCATGTTTATCACTATTTTGGACATTGATTTATTTCGATTTGAATCAATTAATGATTTCGTTACACATTCTCTTATATCAACTGAACAAATAAAACAATTATTTGATGATAATCAAGGAAATTTTCCACTTCCAATTCAACTCGAACAATTTGTTCTCGATCATATTTTTCAATCAAACTCAAAACTATTTTAACGTGAAACATTTCGTGATGAATCTCTTGTTGATTTATATACTTCACTTTTAAATGATTTATTACATTGGTCAACTTATACTCATAAACAAATTGTTTGTGTTCTAACATTAATTCAAGGTCTTTTATGTCAAATTGAGCGAACAAATAAAATGAATTCTGTCAAATTAGATGAAGCGTTTATTCATTCATGTTCAATTTTAATGGGTGGAAATGATCATAAAAAATCGATTTTATTTAATGCTCAACAATATCCAAAAGTAATCGATTACATTATTCAAATAATTTTTCAACATCGACATTTGTATGAAACATTACTCGATGAAAAACCTCAACAAATTGAAAAAATTGAAGAAAATAGAACAGTAAAAAGAATTCTTACATTAAAAGAAAAGAAGTTTTTATTATTTGTCTTTTCTTAGATCGATTTTCATTTATTTGAAGAACCACTTTTTCCT